GATGAAAACGTTTGGTTTTTCCTCAGAGGATGAAAACGTTTGGTTTTTCCTCAGAGGATGAAAACGTTTGGTTTTTCCTCAGAGGATGAAAACGTTTGGTTTTTCCTCAGAGGATGAAAACGTTTGGTTTTTCCTCAGAGGATTCGGTCGACGGTGGATGAGAAGGAGCAGAAGCAGCTGCTGATGGACCTGGACGTGGTGATGAGAAGCAGCGACTGTCCGTACATCGTCCAGTTCTACGGCGCTCTGTTCAGAGAGGTCAGAAACATCCAGGGACAGAAATGCTTCTCGTTTTCCCTGCGGATGATCCGATGTCTTGTGCTCGTTTCAGGGGGATTGCTGGATCTGCATGGAGCTCATGGCTACCTCGTTAGACAAGTTCTACAAGTTTGTTTACGGCTCGTTAGACGACGTGATTCCAGAAGAGATATTAGGAAAAATCACTTTAGCTGTAAGTTTGTTTCTGTGTTTTCATGTTTGCTTTCATTAAATTTCATCCGGTAACTTCTGGTTTTGGTCTGCAGACTGTGAAGGCACTAAACCACTTAAAAGAAAACTTGAAGATAATCCACCGAGGTAAGCGCTCCCGGCTGCTCCGGTTTCAGCCGTTGGCTCTTCGCTGCTCACCGTCCGTCTCTCCGCTCAGACATCAAGCCGTCCAACATCCTGCTGGACAGAAATGGGAACATAAAGCTCTGCGACTTCGGCATCAGCGGCCAGCTGGTGGACTCCATCGCCAAGACCAGAGACGCCGGCTGCAGGCCGTACATGGCGGTCAGTAACCAGAGCTCCGCTGGCTTCAGACGTTAAATAACATCAGTGTTTTATAACTTTCATTCTGAGGTTGGCAGTTATTGTCTTTTGTTGCAACTTATCAAGCAGATTTTTCCCAAATTCAGTCATTTGTAGATGTTTTATTGGATGATTGGACATTTAAAAGCTAGAGTTTTATCTGAGGTTCTGCAGCGTTTCAGCAAAAGTAATTTTCTTTATATTATAATAGTCATAAAGTTACCAGAATAAAGTCCAAAAAATAAATCCAAAAATAAAGTTAAATTATCAGAGAATAAAGTTGTAATGAATAAAAATGTTTCTGCTGCAGTAAATGAGGGACGTTTTGCTTTCAGTTTGACAGATAAGGAAATAATTTATCTTTTAAAACATCCGTATCAAATTATCAGCAGTAGCAGAACTTTGAAACGTCAGGCTCTGTTTGGGTTTCGGACACCTGAAGGAGATCAGGAATTTGACCAAGAGATCAACAAGTTGGTCTAAAACGTCTGAAACGTGCAGTGATGGAAACCATATTTCCTGCAAACGGTTCATCTGGACTCGGTCCGGTCCAGGCGCCGACCTCATGGTGGCGTCATCAGATAGTTTTGTGTCTGAGTTACGGCAGTGGTTGGGTCTCTTGCTGCAGGTACCATTTTAAACATGGCTGCGGCTCTGCGGCATGGCGGCGCTGCGGCTCTGCGGCATGGCGGCGCTGTGGCTCCGCCTGCAGGAATCCCAGCAGCAGCTTCCTGTTTCCAGCTGGCACCAGCTGTGCCGACCAGCGGCCGACTTGTTTAGAAATGTTCTGCAGTCGACGTTCTTTCCATGTCGCTGACTGATGACTTTGTTCCTTTAGTCACGTTTTCGTTTCACTCACTAAATCAGGTTATTGCTTAACAACATAACCTGCCATAAAAAGCACATTTACTAAAATCGGCTGCAGTAAATCAACCTGAACGACCTGAAGACTCAAAGTTTCCTTCGGCAGTGAAATGGGACCGAGCATAAACTTCCTGTCTCTACAGGAAGTTGTGATTGTAACTATTGATGCAGATTCACTCATTCACAAAGTTTGCATGGACTTGCAATTTTTCCACAAATCTGACCAATCGCTGCCGCTCGGCTGAATTTCAGCCAATCCCCTTCACTCACCTCCTAATTTAACTTCCTGTTTCTCAACGTCTCTAAAGTCTAAATGGTAAAATTTTCCATTTTGAGATGTTCACATACAGAGTTCTTCTGACCTTTGACCTCCTCAGGACATGAATTTGTTTGTATTG